CTTTGTTGAATTTGCAGCTGAATATAGATTAAAGTCTCTTACCGATTCACAGTAGTTACAAGCCCTCTTCTACTGGATGAGAAAGGCCAGGCTAGGTCTGGCCTTCTACCTTCAAAAAGAATGACCTAGCTTCTGCAATGCTTTGAGAAGGGTAAATTGCTTACATCAACACAGTGTACTCTCACAAACTGCAGCCTCTGACCAACAAAACAACCACAAAAGTAAGGGATAAAGTAACTGCAAGCTTTAGGGTGGTCCGATGCACTCGAGCAAACCTCAGGGGATGTGAGAGGGGTCTGAGCTGTCCCTGTGCAATTCCTTGTGTTATTTTTTTTGTGGTTTTCCCTAGAAAATGTGGCAGCAGCAGGGGTGAGCACATTGAAAAGCTACAGTTTAGAACTATAGTATAGTATATAGCATGTGTGTTGTGGGGGAAAGAAAAGGGCTATGCAAAGTTTAAAATGCCTGATATATTACCAAGCAACATTTTCTTTTTTTCTTCTGGTAGCTTGTGAAACACAGTCCAAAAATTCCTGATGGTTTGATCTAACTTTGTATACTGTCTGTATGTCACATTCTGTCAAAGAGATAAAAATAAAACAGGCCAGGTTTATATTTCAATTTTTCCATTTATATTTAAAGCAACATTTTATCTGATACATTTTATAATCCTGTTCATAGATATTCAAATCCCCTTAACCTCTGGAATCTGCTTGTTCATTTGTTTTTCAAAGATTCATATGACAATCCCTGAGTTATGGCTTGATACCTACTCCCCTTTATTCTTGTGGCTGACATAGATTAGAGGCAGAATATAGACACTAATCAAAACAAGACAAAGTTCCTTGAGCTTCTGTCCATCTGTTATGCACTCAATGAAAGAACAGGTCAGAAGTAGTTTATGCTTATCAGACAGAACAGAAGGACACTGTGCTTTTATACAATACCTTTTCCAGCAGATGCCAGTCAAATATTGTGCGTCCCTGGAGAAGAACCTGCAGCTCTTCAGGGAAAAACATCTTCCAATTTCTAGCTGGGCAGCCTCTTAAGAACCCTTGCATAAAGTCCTCAAATGGCTTCTTTACTGATTTATTGAATATATAATTCACATACAAATCAACATATTCTTTCCTGCAACAGATACCAAACAAGCATTGGTGGTGCTTTTCTAAAAGAAGAATTACAGAGAACTTTATACTTAATTCCTTTATTCCATATGACCTGCTGTGGTGTACAGACTCAGTCTTCACTGAGACCAGTTGTCACTGGCAATTAGTTATTCACTGAGTAAGCTGGGAGCATCTTCAGAAATAAAAGTGAATGCTGGCCAGAATGGATTCATTTTGGTAACACTCCTTCTTCATGTGAATGCTCCAATGAAATGCTGTCAGACACCTGGTTATTATAAAAGATGGAACCTAGCAGACCTAACTCCCATTGAATGCCCAAGAATTTCCCTGAAATTGAAATAAATATTTCCACAGCTGTTAATCAATAGTTTCACTCTTATCTCTACTTCAGATGGGGATTTGTGTAGTGACATTGTACTGTACGATCAACTCAATATAAATGCTCTACTTCAAGCTTCTTAAACAGCCTTTTCATGGATCCCTATGGGTCCTCAGGTCATCTGCATAATTCAGGACACAAAATTTCTCTCTGTCCTCTGTGCAGAGATTAATATTGATACATAATAATACATCATAATAATATTGAAACAAAGTCTTACTGATATATTTCTCCTTCTCCTTTATGTACGATACATTCTGTATACGTAACTAAGCAGGAAACATTTTGCTCTTAAAAAACCCTTACAGAGGTGTAACTATAGCTGGGTTTCACAAGCAAATGATCCGTTTCTGCCTGAAAATACTGTTCAAGGTTATTTTTTACATTTGTTAGGAATTTTCCTGTTAATGCCAGATATCTGTATATGCAGATATTAGGATATCCAAGGATCCCCATGTTATCCACTGCTTGCACAAACTGACAGTGTTTGGCACATGCGCAGCACATGCACAGCAGGAACTGAAAGTCTACAACCTATTGGACCAAGGCCAATGGCACAATACAGAAGTCAATATTTTCTAACAATATATGGGGATGGGTGCACACATGTTACTTCATACATTTGTAACCAGACAACAGGATTAAGAAATATAAAAATAAAACTGACCTGTTATCCTTAGTGACAGGAATGTTGGCACCATTTTCTTTAAGCTCAACAACATCCGTGGACTCTCCTCCTTCCATTATCTATGCAAATAAATTAAAACATTGGCTGCTATATCTATATGTGACAGATATTTATGTGCTACATCTCTCATTCCTCCTGAAGGGCCTGACATGGCATTCACTAGTCTGAGTTTACAGACAAGTTGTGTTATTTGCACTGGGACACTGTCTTGCCTGAGTATCTATGTAGGATATCTTACCGTGAAGTCCAAGTCCAAGCTATCACTTTCATCATTCAAAATTTTCTGGAGACTCCTATCCAAACACAAAAGAGATCAAAGAGAGAAGAAACGTGAGCATTCAGTGCACTTGAAAATTCTGCTAAAAACATCCTTTGACAGGCAGTATTTAAATGCATACATGTACACAACACCTACACTCACACAGAAACATGATATATGGCACTGAAATTTCATCATGCTGCTGACATAAGCTTAGCACAAATGCCGCCAGTAAAAAAAGTTTCCAGGCAAGTCCATCCCCATGCCCTGTGTGCACAACTTTACACAAAGTTCAGTGACAACTGGGTTTGGAATCCTTGCTTCCAGACATTATCTAGTGAGGAATTACGTGTGCAACAGAGAGATGATCTGGGAGAATTGCTGTGGGGTGCAGCACCTTTCCAAATATTGCAGGCAACCTTGTGTTCCAATTCACTGAGGAACCTCAGTGAATTTAGCACCTCAACACAGTCACTGGGTCATGGGATGGGGTTCTCATCTTCTTGGTTGCTTATATCACTTGCCTGGAAGACTGGGCTTTAGGGGCCTAGAAGCATTATGTTGATGGCAGCAGCACCTCTGCCTCTTATGCCTGCCTGATATCTCCTCTCCCAGTGCATGGAAACTTTGTACAAGGGTTCTCAGAATTGGCAGCATATTGTAATACTGTACTTGTGCAAGGCAATATTGTGGAAATTGATAATCAGTAAATCAGGAAAAAAAATCCCACCATTAATAATTGAGTCATTAGTTCTTTCAAGTCCAAACTACAGCCCAAAGTGTTTTGAAAACTTATATATTCACAGGGTGGACTTAAACTCTGGTGGAGCAGAGATCTGACACTTTCTAAGTCATGAGGCTTGGCATTTTGTTTTGGCAATGCCAGCCTCTGAGAGCAACATCCATGCCCTGGACAAGGACCTCCTTGGAAATCTGACCAAAGACCTCCTTTGTGGCTTCTAGCAGCTTCACAAAGGCAAATGTAGATGCTGTGGGTGCCCCAAATTCAGCCTCTGGGATCTCCCAGTGCATGGTCAAGGCAAGGGACCCAGCCAAAGCTTGGGCCATGACTGGCTCATACCGGCCCATGGTTGGCAGCAGATCCTCAAGGTCCTCTAGGGTGGGGGCCAGGTCCAGTAGCTTTTTATAGAGAGCCCTGGGGAAGGGGAAGGGCACCATGCGCAGGTTAAACAGGGCCATTCCACACAGTGTCCCAATCAAGAGGAAGGTGTCCTCATCCTTACAGCTTGGGGCCTGGTTAGGAACAAGAACACCTGGTTAGGAACAAGCCATGACTGCCTTTTCCCATGGGTGGAGCACCCATCCACCCCTGCAGGGCTGCCTTACCTGTCTGGGGAACCACACGAGGCCGGAGGCGAAGTGGCAGAAGGCACTGGTGCTGGGCTGGCAGAGGGTCCTGGCTGCAACGCTGAAGAGCTCCTGGGACACCGCACCTTCGTCCACCCCCATCTCACCCAAAAAAGTCACCTGCAAGGCCCGAGACACCCGCAGATAGAGACATCCATGTTGGCCACAAAACCAGGTTCCTTACCTGGTGTGCAACAAGCCAATAATTACACAACCGAGAGACACTGATTATTTATCTCACAGTTGTGCCAAACTGGGTACTCGGTGGTAATCTACAAATCAAGCACACCCCACCAGACTTTTTGAGCCATTATTTGTACACAGAAGTTCAGAGTTAGTAACTGTCCAAGTCTGTTATGCTTGGTTAGTAATTTCCAAACAAGTTCCATAACCCCAGCTAACTTCCACACACCCTCAGGGTAAGGGTCTTCGACTGGGCAGGGGTCTCACTGCCCTGTGGGCATGATTTTAACTATTACAATTAACACAGTTCAGCTACAGGCTACGTGGACCAAGTTAGCAATGTATATACGGACAAGTTAGTAATATATATACATCAACATCTTCATTTACTGCATCTTTAAGGCTTTTCAGTTCCCGGATGTCCTTGACTAGGGAATGCTAGCTGCTGTCTGTTCCACTGACTAGGCTTCCTTTCTTCCTGATTAATCTTGACAGTGTCCAGAGATCACACACCGAAAGCCATCCTGCCTTAGGACAGCCTTGCTCCTCCGTGCCCTCGGAACGCCGCGCAGGGGCGGGCCGGGGCGGGGCGGGGCGGGGCGGAAGCGGCGGCCATGCTGCGCGGCCCGGCCCTGCTGCCGCTGCTGCTGCGGCGGCCGGCCCGCCCCGGCCCCGGCCCCGGCTCCGGCCCCGGCCCCGCGCACGGCCGGCACTGCCACCGCCAGCGGGAGCAAACCTCGGGATCCGGCCCCAGCTCCGGCTCGGGCTCCGGCTCAGCGCGGCCGCAGCCCCTGGAGCCATCGCTGCTGCGCTTCCTGGTGTGCCCGCTCTCCAAGCGGCCGCTGAGGTGAGGATGGGGCGGGGGAGTCGCGCCCGAGCCCTGCGCAAAGCCAGGCTGGTTAGTCCCTGCTCCTCATGTTTTTGCTTGGATGTTTCTCCCCCTCCCCCGACTTGGCTGACCAGGTACGAAGAAGCTACGAACGAGCTCATTAACGAGGAGCTGGGCATCGCGTACCCCATCATCGACGGCATCCCGAACATGGTTCCGGAGGCGGCCCGGAGGACGCACAAGAAGCCGCCGGCCGAGGGCCCGGAGCAGCCGTGAGGAGCCGCCGGGCACGGCACTCACCCGGCCTGATGGCCGGAGCAGGGCTGCTGCCCTCCCTGCCCACGCTGACTGTCCTCGTTCCCCTCCTGTCCCTGGCAGGCCTGTTCTACTCGGCCAGCGTGGACGAAAACTTCCCCCAGGGCTGCACCAGCACCACCAGCGTGTGTTTCTACAGTCTCCTCCTTCCTGTTACAGTACCAGTTTATGTGTTCTTTCACCTCTGGACCTGGATGGGGATTAAGCTTTTTAGGCACAACTAGTGCAGTGCCTTTGCTAACCCCGGGTTTCTCTAAATTAATGTAATTTGTTTAATCTCATCGAGTATTGCAGTTCATTTTGAGAGTTTCCTTCTGGTACTAGGGACTGGCATTTTCCTGGTAGGATCTGGAACTGTAGGAAGCAGCAGCCCATTGTTAACTACTGCTAATGCACATGAAGAGTAGGAGTAATAAGATGCACTAATTCCCTCTGTTTTATCCCTTCAAGAGTGCTGTGTGTTTGTAGTGGGACTAATTAGAACCTTAGTTTTCATGAGGAAGAACTGTACCCTGACTGAATAAAATAAATTAAAATTAAAACATGCTATGATATGAATCTCTCTGAGAGCATTGGGGCTCTTTAACCAGATGTGTGTACTGAAATATGTTTGTCTCACTGTCAGAAGAGCAAAAATTAATATACATCAGGCTGGTGTTTAATAACAAGACTTGAGATGAGTCAAATGAAGACATTTCTTTCTGGGATGATACCCATGTCTGTATGTGGAGTACCTGCAGATCTTTTCTTTCTAGGGCCATGATGAGAATGCCACATGCCAAGTTCTCAGTATTGGCTGAAAAAATTTCCTAACAGCACACAGCTATGAAGGGGGCAGGCCAATGCTACAATGAAGGTTTCTTCTTTATGTTTTGCTTTTGGGTAGTTTGTATCTGCAATACAAAACATATTCATGTCCTTTACCTGCTGAAAAATGCAGAAATGAGGCACCAAGTTGTAAATGCTGCACCAGGCTGTAAATGCTGTGGGACACTAACAGTGCAGTTAGATTTTTTAGGCTGCTGCTGGGTAAATAATATTTTGATGCACAGTGTGAAAGGCAGTGCTCAGGAGGTGTGCCCAAAGGCTGACTTGAGCTAAGGGCAGCTGTTTGTCAGAGCTTGTACAATAGGTGGAGACTTGAAATATAGAGGACAGTACAGAGCACACCCTCACTGCCTCTCTAAATAAATGCCTCTCAAATAGGGAGGAACCAGGAAGGAAAGGTAACTCTGGGAGTCTTTGTGAATCTTCTCCAAAGTAAATGGGAAAGAAAAGCCTTGACAGCTCTGGTTGGCAAGAAAGCTCACTTGGAAAGCACCAGGGCACCAAGGTCCATGGTTCCTGTGGCACAAGCGTGGTGCCAGACTTTGTGTTAGTGGCAGGTGGGGCCTGTGGTCCCTGAGCTGAGCCCTCGCAGCTGGTTGACATCCCATTCCCACATCAGCCAGCTAACAGCTTTTGCAGGGCAGGGCCAGCATCACGATTCCTGTGGGAAACGCAACTGCCACAACCTTCGAATCGGTGTGGAAGCCACAGATTAAAGGCACATGGAGACAGTGGCGTTGTAATCCGATGCTCATCTCTCTGGCCAGCACTATCCTTCCTTTCCCTTCAGACAGCATCTCCATGAGAGAAATGTAGTTTTGTGGCTGTGTTGCTTGCTGATCCCTCAGGCTGCTTCCCCAGACGCTGGGGTTTTAATGTGCTAGAAGGAAGTCTCAAAAGTTAGTCTAGCAGCAACAGTACTGGACTTTGACAACTGAGCAGTTCTATTCCATTACCCCAAAGCCACCTCACAGTAAACAGCACTGCTACTTGCATTTAACTTATGCCAACAAAGCTGCCTGGAATAAGGAAATGCCGCCTCCAGATTTACCCTACACCATCTATGGAACATGCTTTATAATAATTTGAGGAGCAGTTCTTTCGCTGGATGCTCAGAGGATACTGAAACCCTTCTGCCAATATACAGTAACACTGAAAATCAAGGAACACTGCAGCAAGATACTTAGAGCTAACAAGTAATACAATTTAGTATCTTACCTTTAACATCTTCCTGAAATCTTGGTTTGAGGCAGTTTTTAAATTTTTCCATATATCTTGGAGAAGGCAGTGTCTTCGGACGCAAAAGTTCCATGCCTCAGGGATCCGTATAAAGGGCATCTGAATAAAGGGTATCCAAGGATTGGAGTAACAGTCTGTTAGCAGTGTGTTTATCTCTTCTGATTGGTAACAAAATTGGCTGCACTTACAATAGGGTGCAGGGTCTTGGACAGAAGAACCCTGCATTCTGTAGTATGAACGCAGATCTTCTTATCCCTTTCAAAGATGCATGGATACTTGCTCAGCCTCTCTAGGACTGTCTGAAAGGACAAGGAAGAAAGGAAAAGACATGCTGATTTTCCCTTGCAAAACCAGAGTTCAGGGACATGTCTGTAGACTGAACTGCCAGTCTGTACCCTAGCAAACTTCCGTGTCTCTGAAATGAGACCTTGAGTGCATGAACACTGCACTAACAGAGGTTCACATCCTAAAAACAGCTCCTACACACTCCTGTGAGTGAGAAGCAGAGAGAGGCATCTAGCCTCTCTGTGCAGACAGACACTTATCTACAGTAGTGCCTCTAGAATAAAACAGAGAGTAATTTTAACAGTATCTTCCATAATTCAACTAGACCAAAATGTCCTGGATACTCAGGTTATGACATACTGTTTTTAAAAACTGCTGGGTTTATTATATGTAATTCCAAAAATAGATGCTGATCTAAAAAAACCATCTCATTTAAAGTGTTACACCTACAGTGTGATAAGGTGCCAACTTCAGGTAACATCCTAATTGGCTTTTGATTCTATGCTGTTGCTCAAACTTCCTCCTCCACTCTGGCTAATTGGTACAAAATTGGTACATTAGCAAACAAAGGCTTTTGAAGGAATTAGGCAATTGCCCTACAAGTTGCATGAAAGCTTACTCTTTTTGTTTGCCAAAGGAAACTCCTACTATGCACATTTCCATTTCATGCTGCTTCCTCTGACACTGACTGCATTTGGTAGCTAATTTTCACTCTGTGTCAAGAAATGCCACAGATTATTTTTTTATTACCACAGCTTTGTTTTAAGATGTAAATACATTTAAATGCTCAATAGGATTTCTAAATAAAAGTTTAAAGACACCTCAAAATATTTCTCTTAATTAAACATAATAAAATCCAGAGAAACACAAAGTATAGAAACAATCTCTTGTGCTGTTATTTCACAGTGATTATTAGTTCAAAGCAAACAGAGCTACTTAAGATGCTGGAGGGCAGCTCCAACTCTCAGAACCAGGGATGGGATCATCTCAGGAAAGGCTCTATTGTAGCTGCTGGAACACTGGGATGGTAAAGAGCTTGCATAATTTAGAGCTTTGGAGGACTAAGGAAAATGAAATGCCTTTGAAATGTGCTGGGTTAGTCTCTAGAGTTGACTTCCATAGATATAGATATAGATATAGATATAGATATAGATATAGATATAGATATAGATATAGATATAGATATAGATAAACTATTTAAATTTTAAAAAAAGAGTGTTTTGCACTGCTGGTAAGATTTATACTTACTACTATATTGAAGCGTGAACATTTGTCAATAATCCCTCCCACTTCATGTACATGGAAGTTGCTTTCATGTACTCTGAAACCAGTTCTGGAGTTCACCTGCATTGAAACACACAATATATCAACAGCAGAACTAGTGAGCTGTGTCTGTCTGGCAGGACAGGACTGACAGAGCTTTCTTCAGAAAGGGTTCTGAGACCCTGCACAGAAGTTATGAGATAAAAGTGCTCAAGAAGCACAGTGCTCCACAGTGGGAAGTCTTAGAAAGACATGTATAAACTAGCAGGAAAGCAATTTTCATCTACAATTAAGATCCCTTAACAGGACTCCATCAGAAAAAGTGTATTTCCCTTGGAGTGTCTTTCATGTTTCCACAATTCCCTATTCATGTTCCTAATTGTTGCCTGGAAAAGATACTTGCAGGGGGACAGTGAACATTTAAAGCTCCAAATCATGTAATCACTTACAGAGGAGTAGGTCTGCTGCATTTTTTTAGTTTATTTATCTGCATAAATACAAATTTGAGAGTCTAAACTTTGTGGCCCAATTCTGCTTTCTCAGCCAAAACGATATTCAAGTCTGAACAAAATTTAACAAGTCTGATTTATACTGTGTGCTCGAGCCTTTAACTTTCATAAACTTTGAACATCTCCACAGGAGAAAGTATGGTTGTCTAGAAGAACACAGTTATTGCTTCCTTTGTTTCTCTTGTTCATGTACAGCTAAAGAGGTTCTAATGCTGTTATCCCAGAGAATTTGTCAGGTTAAGCATCACAGAGCATTACTGTGGCAGCCACAATGTGCCAAACAGATAGGCTGTCTTTTAAATGCTCTGAGCAGTTACTGGGGTGAGGGATCTCACCAGCAGAAAGGGGAATGGGCATGTTACATACAGGACACTACATCCATAGCTGTGCAGGCATCAATAGATGCACTCCTGACACCACTGAAAGCATTCTTCCCCCTGCCACGGCTATAACATGCTTTAGCTCTTCATTTCTACAGAGGGTCAGTTTGACACAACTCAAGCAGGACTTCTTCAAAACTGTGCTGGTGTAGAGCCAAAGATTCCTGAAGCAGTGTAAAACACAGAGAATTCAATAAGTGAGAAGTATTAAAATAGTCTAGGCTACACTGAGATATTCTGTCTAATTGGGATTCAAACACCTTCTCACCTGGTAAAGCATCTGCAGTATTTGCAGAGGCCCAGTTTTAACTGGGTCCAGGTTGAAGAGGCTTGGCCCCATCACCATGATCTCCTGGGAAACTGAGAGCAGAATTTTCTTGGAAACCCTCTGATACAGAATGACCAGCTTCTTGAAAAAGGATGTTTCTAGATTTGACCATAGGCATTCTGTAAAGAAAATAGTGAGGTCACAGGTAACATACAGATCATTGCATTTTGTGGGTGAAGCTGTTTTTTCTCTTTTTATCAAATGAATTGGGAAAAAAAAAAAAAAAAGAGTTTAAGCTTGCACTACAAAAACTATTAAACCTCAGACAGAATGTTTTAAATTTTTGTGCCTTGCTGCATAGTCCCCATGTTTCCATGTCTATCAAAAGCAATTATTTCAAGCTCTTGAATACATTACATCAGTGATAATAACTCTTGTTCTTCAGAAGAAAATTACCAAGCATTTAAATCATTCAATTCTACCATCATTCCTACCAAGAGTTTGCAGGCCCTGTGGCTGGAGCTTCATGATGGCTTCAGCCAGAAGGATTAGAGATAGGATAGCGTCTTCATTGTTCCTCTGCAGAAGGAAAGGCAAGATCAAGTAGACTCTGCAATTTTCAGGTGAGATGGGAGAGGAAGACAACAATGGCAGTAAGTTCCTAATCTCCTTTTGGACCTTCAGAGGGGAAAAAAAATAAAAAGAGACAAGGGTTAAAATGCAATTATATTTTGCCAAAGTAATTAGGTTGGCATGAAATTCCTAAGTTT